TATATATATATATATACTAAAACACAAGAGAAAAGGTTCCGATTTGTACCTCAGAGGGGCCATAATTTGCAATTCTTTTATGTTGAATTTCTTCAGAAAACAACATTAGGAAGTATGGATTGGCTTGTTGAAGAGGGGTGGATAATTGTGCTCGGTGGCTCTACTTTTTTATTTTCCAGTTAATATTGATGTTCCGATGAGGGCCTTTTCTTCCTGCCTTTTCTGTAAAAGACTTTTTTTCCTGCCTGAGTATGGGTCTATCTGCCTTATTCTTAAATGCCTTACCCTTCCTTATCCTGAGTCTTGGTATGCTTAGATTCCAGTTCGGACGCATTTAATTTTATCAATTACTTCATCACCATAAATATCGAGTAACTCTCGGCACACAAGAATTAAAGCCGATGCATGAAATCACCTATCTTCCTGCTTTTCTTTCGACGCCTCGGTAGAGATGAGTTAAACGTTGACTCCTAAAGTGGAGTAAATGGTAAATTTAAGGGTTAAAAGTACTATTTACTAATTATGTTATTTTTGGCTTCCTTCCAATTTTTCAATTTTATATTTTTCCGGCCATGGGCCAAATTTTTATAAGTTACACGTTGAGCAACTCTAGTAAAGAACTTGTGAAAATAGCACGGCCAACCAGTTTTCGGACTAATAATTGAAAAATAGCCGGCGTTTGCAAAGTTATTGAAAATAACCAATATTTTGCTGCAACATGGAAAGTTCCAGCATAATATACTAGAGATTGATGCACCTGTGTATAAACTTCCAGCATATTATGCTAGAACTCTAGCACACGGAAAGTTCCAACATAATATACTAGAGATTGGAGCACATGTGTATAAACTTCTAAGTTATTATGTTGGACCAGTATATTATGCTGGAACTCCAGTATATTATGCTGGAAGTTCACATATAAATAATTCGAACTCTAGTATATTATGCTAGAATATTTTCGAATTTTGAATAGTGTTTTCGTTCAGATTTATCTTTGTATGAAAAGTGGTAAAATTTCGATTACTTTTAAAATTGTGGCTATTTTTCAATTAGCACTTGCAAATTTGGCTATTTTTGAATTTCACCCAAAGAACTTTAGTAAGTAAAAGGAATCTAAGGAGAGAATTAGTTTGCATTAAAACCTTCGTATTTGGAAATAGTAGTAATAACAAATTAAAAGACTAACCAGTTGCAACATAACAAGAAGTTAAAGATCCAGTAATATTCATAACACCCATGGCCAGCATTTCCTTGTTTCCATCAAGTCGGTATCCTTTCATTGTAGCAAAGGATCGGCCTACAGCAATGGCTTCCTGGTAAATTAAACACTATAAAATGTTAAAATATACCGATAGAATAAAAAGCTTTTACGCCTATATATAAGTTAAATCCTTTAAACGAAAAATAACATCCATAGATTGTCTAACTAAATAAAGAATATATTGACGTACTGTGAGAGCGATAAGTGCAACGATGAGCCCAATTTTGGCAGCTTCGGCAGTATGAGGACTATTGAACTGCAAGTCATGGATGGAAGTCGGGTTCAAACCTCCAGTGATGTGCTTCACTATCTTAACACCATGTTTATCAGCTCTTGTCAAGAAAACAATTAGTGTTGACAGAATTACAGACAGTAATGGCGCCATTGCAGATAACAAGAAGAGTTTCTTGTGCTTTCTTGCCTGAAAAATCATGGTATATATTGGCACAATGCTGTTAGAAGTTTGATTATTTCAAATCAACATAAAATTAATTCATTATGACTATATAATTATTGTTGCGTTTTCCTCTCTCTCATATACATATACAGAAACCATGCATGTTAAAAAGGGAGTAGTTATGGAGTATCATAAAAATTTAAAACAAGCTGTATCATAATTTAAGAATATGAGAATATAGTCTTTTGTGACTAAGAAAGTGCAGAAATAGGAGAAAATAATCCTGTTCAAGTAAGAAAGTGCATTAATAGGATTTCCTCTCTGATGTTATAATTTTTTGTTATCCCTTTCTACAGGTTTAGGCTTATATGTGACAATATATCGCAAGGTTTTTTTTGTCCAAGTGGATCTTGTTAAGTAGAGTCAGTGAATCTAGACTTATAAAGGATATATATATATAGCTACTTGCCAGATAGTACTTGGTAAAAAGGATGAAGATGAAGAATGAACTCCCAATCATAAAGCTAAAAGGGTTCCACTGCCAAAAGAAACGCTGGAATTAGCTGTCTAATTGAGAAAAAAAGATCTAATATATATTAAGCTGTAGATATTACTTAATTGAGAGGACAAAAAACAACAAATTAATTTACAGTATGCATTGATTTGCTGATAGAAGTTAAGACAGAGATGATATCAGTATTGTTTGTAAACTTTGAAAGCCCAAGCAATGATTTGAGTTGTTGTAGACCAATCACACAGGCAGCACCAGCCATGAAACCAACAATAGCAGCATGTGACAGAAAATCAACTAGAAATCCCAACCTGTAATTTATAATATCACTACACAACCATTCATTAAAATTAACTGATGTTAGTTAAATTTTAAGATTAATTAACTTACCTAAGTAGTCCAAAGGCAGCTTGAAAAGTACCCGCGAAGAAGGTTACAGTAAGCACGAGCTTTGTGTATGCAGCTGGATTAACAGCAGGATCTTCAAATTTCTGAATCATCGAGGACAAGAGTAGTGAAACAACAGCAACTGGTCCAATTGCTATATCTCTTGAACTCCCCATTATAGAGTAAATTAGCGGTGGGATAACACTTGTGTCTAGTGGAAATAATTAACAGAAAATTGTTAGTATGTTTTCTTAAATTTCATAAAACGGAAATGGAAAATAAAATCAGAATCTTGTAGTACAAGGCTTTGATCACTTACACAGGCCATATTGAGGATCAAGTTTAGCAAGAGTCGCGTAGCCAATGCTCTACATAAGTAGGAGTAAATTAACGATCGATATCCTCTAACGATGAATATTATATTGTTGAAACAGGTGTGCTAATTTATTACCTGAGGGATGCAAAGGCTTGCAAGAGTTAAACCAGCCAAGATATCACTTTTGAATTTTGTTACATTGTATTGTTTACACCAAGAAAGTGGAGGAAATATGGTCTTGAGAATCGAAATGAGTGCAGGAAGGGGCTGCTTTCCAATGCAGTGAAGCTTGTTTTCAAGAGGAGAGAATATTGTTTTCAGCTTGGAAAACAGACCTGGTGGTTCCGGCACATTTAGTACCCAATTACGCCTTTGTGTTTGAAGTGTTTGGGAGAACTGATCAAATGTATTTTTCTGACTCTCAGCAAAAGTTGGACGAGTTGTTTCTTCAACTGTTTGGGCCAAGTGTGAAGACTCTGTCTCACCTTCTCTTGATACAGCCATTTTCTTGAAGGTGAAGTTTAGGAGCTAAGGCCTCCAAGTCAATTGACAGAGCTCCAGTTGTTCAAAAGCACATCTTCAACTATTTAAAAGGCTTCTTGATTAACTTTTTTAACCTGGAAAATCAATTTTTTAAATTAAAAAAATTGTTGGAGAGAAATTGAATACTAGTATTTCGAAAGGGAAAGTCGTCCCTCACTGGTTAAAAAGGTCGGGCTTGCGCACATGAGAAATGGTCCAAAAGACAAAAGTAGTGGATTTGGCCGGTGAAGAATTAACCCAAATAGTTGTACACCCAATCGCTTAAGTTAGAAATAGGCGAGGGAAATATAATATATATACATAATTTATATATCAATGTGTATATGTTTACTGTGAAAAAGGTAATAACAATTAAATTTGATTATGAGACTCTAAAAATACATGATCTATTTTTATGCTAGTTGTTAAGCAGTAAATGCTACATATGTGAGACTTAGAAACGAAATGAGAGTTAAGAATAGAGAGATAATCAAACTGATAGGCTAACAATCGGGGCCTCAAGGTCGATTCTGGAGCTCGGCTGGGAGCTATCGAGGGGGGTCAAAATATGACTAACAGTTATAGTGAAATCAACGAAGGCTTTTTATGGCCAATGGTAAACAATAAATGATGAACAACAATGAAGATAATAAATAGAAGCAATAATATCAAGAGAATGTATTGGAGAGCAAAGAGAATGTTCTTGTATATTTCATGTGGAGCAACTGAAGCAACAGAGAATTACAAAATGACAAGGATCCCCTTTATATAGGAGGGGAATCCCAACATAGTACAAAATACATTAATGACAAAGAAGTGAAGATGGGACAGCTAGATAACACCCTGATTCGGGTTTAGAGTAGTCCACTAGGCTCTGTCAGTCCTTGCCGTATACCTTGGAAACTCCCCATTTCTACCATTACCGTAATCATCACTGCCCCGAGGTCGAATGTCAACGACACTCGAGGGAGGATACTCGGTCGTGGCCTCGAGCCTTCGAGGTGATCTTCCGAAGTTCCTTAATGACGAGAAATTGGACCCTTCGATTTTACCGTATACAGTATAATTGTACGTAGGGGTGGTAAACGGGCGGGTCAGGTTGGATATGGGTCGGGTCGAAAACGGGTAATGCATGAGGAGAAATCTGAGTCTTCCAAACTTGAGAAACCCCTAATTTGAGGCTTTACAAATGTAAAAATTAAAACCATTAGTTATCCGTTTTCTAAATGGATAATATGGTTCTTATCTATATTTGACATGTTTTTAAAAAAGGTCATTATCCAACCCATTTTTAGTGGATAATAAGGTGGATAATTGTTTTCTTTTAACCATTTTGCCACCACTAATTGTGTATAATTAATTCTATGTATATGGTTAGAAAAAGTAAACAGTGAATATGACTAGCTATTTGTGTAATGATCCCTTTGCTCTTCCCTTATGCAGGTTCTATCAGGCTATTTGCATAAATAGGAAAACATTTGTGCCACTTTTATATATATATATATTTGTGCCCAATGCCAGCATTTTAAAGCGCGATGAGCAAAATTTTTGGTACAAATCCTGACAGATCACTTGAATTTTTCAACATTGTGACTGAAAAATCTTGGGAACATCAGGATTCCTGATTTTTCAAAATTCTAGCGATCAGGAGCATGCTTAAAATTCTAACGCGGGGCTATTTTTTTTTAATTTTTAACGAAATCAAAATGTAAATGATGGTTTAGAAAGGTCCATCCAGTGTAATTTTTGGCGTGATATCACGTGTGAGACTTGATCCGAGTCTCCTTTCAAAAGGTTATTTGTATCTATTTATATTATAGGAGTATAATTTTTGACTTATCTTTGAAATGACCAAATTCAGCTTCTTGTTCAGTATTTAAAGGCTAGTCCGGTGCATTAAAATTTTGTTATGCATGGGTCTGGTCGAATCACCCTATATTTCTGTAAGAAATTATTTTTACGGCTCGAAATCATGATTTCCCGGTCACACAAGTCAGATATGTGAATAAGTCAAATATTTCGGTCTCACTGTATGGGTCCGAATTTGATCGACCACGACTTATGGTGGGTACGGCAAATGACCAAAAACCTATGAGTCGGCAAAGGGATACGACCTTGTGAAGGGAGGAGAGATACCACCGCATCGGCAATAGATTCGGCATGTTAGGTGACCTAGGGAATATTCATTAGATACTTCTTAATTTGTCGTCCATACGATTATAGGAAAACCCCTCAGTATATAAGAAGGGTGAAAGTCTTGTAAAAGGGGGATTTTTGGGAGAAAGAACCACTGGTCTTGAACTATTATCATATCTCTACTATTATCATCTCTCTACTATTGTCATCCTAGAGTTTATTATCTTCGGCTACGATTTACCCCTTCATCTTTGATTGATTTGCTTAAAAAGAGTTCGAAATCTTTTGAGTCAAACAATTTGGCGCCGTCAGTGGGAATTTCCATAGCTGAAATCCTAGTTCTCATCTAGGTTCTTAAAAGAGACAATCACTGTTCTTCAAACCCCATAAAAACCAACAATAGCGGAGAAAGAAGCGAGGTCGAAGATGATAGCAGATGTCTCAAACAACCTCCTGAACTCCCTCAACGAAGCTGGTAGAGAAGACATCGAGAATACAACACCAGGGGTTGCACCGGAGGGGGAGATCTCACCTTCTCCACACGGGAATCTAACGATCCTGCGCGAAAGGAGAGCCTCCACGTCCACGGCAGGAGAAACTCCACCAGCAGTCAAAAAGCTACTAGAGGAATGGTTGACAAGTGCTCTGAGCGACATGCTCAAAAAAACCCCTTAGGGAAATGTTGAAGACCTACCACCTACGGAAATCGCAGTTACCATAAGCGAACCAAGCACTACACGAACGGGCAGCACCCGCACTGTAGCTGATGCAGGTGGCGATGCACTCGTAACCATCTTAAAGAAAATGGAAGAGATGGAAAATGAGAACAAAACGCTCCGAGATCAAATGAAGGAGCATCAGGAAAGAGTTGACAAAATACCAGGTGCCCCTAAGCTATTTCCAAAACGCAATGTGGGCCGATTCGTCGAACAGCCATACAACGAAGGGGCTGTCCCTCATCCTATTCCAAAAACTTTAAAGATGCCACCATATTTGAAAATATACGATAGGACCACGGACCCGGAGGATCATCTAATCCATTATGTTACTGCGGTAAAAGGCAACGAGCTATCAAAGGAGCAAGTACCATCTGTGTTGCTAAAAACGTTTGGTGAGACTTTGACGGGGGAGCACTAGCATGGTATTCCCAACTGCCAGCACGATCAATATCAACATTTGAAGAGATGGCGGATAAGTTCGCCACCGCTCATGTAGGGGCGAAGAAGGCTGAAGCCAGGGTCAATGATATCTTTGTAGTTAGGCAAACGACGGGTGAAGGACTTCGGGATTTCTTGGTTCGATTCAACAGAGTAAGGATGAGCCTCCCAAACATATCAGAAGGAATGGCAGTTGTCACACCTCCTTTTTCCGCACCCGCGAGGGGGCAAGGGAGTTTATTTCAATTAAAGGAAAATCGAAACGGGATTTGTTTATTTATTTCAGAGTCGCCACTTGGGAGATTTAGGGTGTCCCAAGTCACCAATTTTAATCCCGAATCGAGGAAAAGAATGACTCTATATTACAGTCTGCGTACCAGAAATCCGGATAAGGAATTCTGTTAACCCGGGAGAAGGTGTTAGGCATTCCCGAGTTCCGTGGTTCTAGCACGGTCGCTCAACTGTTATATTCGGCTT